TCAATAGTTGCCGGGACGCCCTCAAACGGTACAGTGTTTTCAATTATCTCAAGCGTGACCATCCCTGTAATATTTATATGCTACAAGAAACACACTCTCTTGTCTCCGATGGAAATATTTGGAAACTTGTGTGGCGTGGCCTTGGTATTTTTTCTCATGGCACCGTTAATCGTGCGGGTGTGGCTATTTTGTTTTCTCCAGCAGCAACTGTGAATATTTTATCACAATGTGAAATCATGCCTGGATACGTGTTGCACGCTCATGTTCAAATTAATGAAAATCTTGTGAGCTAGCAGAGGGCAGCACTTACCCGCCATACATATAATAAATAAGGTCAGATTATATAAAAAATTATTACTATATGTTTTTTTATTATATATATGGACCAACAGTACTGCCCTATGCTATTTTTCTATATGTTTTTATTTTTTAGTAGTGCGTTCGAAACCTCCATTATTACTTTTATCTTATACTTTCAAAAATAGGAGAAAAACCGAATGGCAAAAAGAACAGTGGGGAATAGTGTTGATGTAGCGAGAGCTAGTGAAACTTTTGTTTAGGAACACACGTGTGTGTGACGTTTCCGGTACTATTCCCATATATGCTTTTTGGCAATATTCTGTTTATATATATATGGACCAAAGTGCTGCTCTATGCTATTTTTCTATATGTTTTTATTTTTCAATATACAAGTGAGTTTTAAACAACCATAGAAATTTCTCTTATACTTTTAAAAATAATAGAGAGTCGAAATGTTTTATTATAAATAAAAATACAATTTTTTAAGTATAAGAATAATATTTTTCATTTATTCTTATATATATAAAATAAATATGGTGCGTTTGAAGTGCGTTTTTGTAATGTTCTTTTTTCATAACGTTGATGGCGTCCTAATGTTTCACTCTATTACAATTCAAACACATAAGTATATAACATTTTTTTCTAATTTTATATATAACAGTTTTTTTATGGTAATTTTTTACATCTTAAATTTTTTGATGTTTTTTGTTTAATGTTTGTTTTTGATGTTTTTTTTTAATGTTTTTTGATCTAACCGTATAAATTGTATAAGGTTTACAATACATAGGACTTTTTTCAAATATGTCACGACTTTTATGATAAAGAGCTATGAATTTTATGGTTTTTATATTGTTTATGGTTTTTATATTGTAGTTTTTATATTGTAGTTTAAGTTTCTCTTTTTTCTCAGAAAGTTTTAAGTTCTGATTTATTATTGTTAAAACGACTGGAATAGCTGCAATACCACTAATAGCAATAGGTATAGCAGGTATCATGACTAGAACTACTGAACTTGTTAAAATACCTGAACTAATTAAAATTGCTTTATTAACTCTTGAAAGTAATTTGTAGGATTTTCTGTATGCACTGCAAACTCTTTCCAAGTAAACTATTAATGCTTCAATTGTTTCAATTTTTTCACTAATCATTATTATATATTAAGTACATTTTTTTATAGCTTAGTAAGAATGAGAGTTGTGTTGAATTCTGTGAATATTACTCGATGATCATCTATAACCTTCTCTACAATAGTAATTTTTTTGTCTTTGGTGATG